ATGCAGGTGTGAATGCTGAGAGCAATTCGGTTAGGAACAATTCGGTTAGTGTGGGTGAGGCTGCTGACGTGGAGGGGTGTGCTCTTCAGGTGTGAGTACATAAACAGAGCAATGGAAGGATAATGGAGGCTGGAAAATTGGGAGTTCTTGGGAGAGATCAGTGCCTCTTTAATTGCACTGAATTTGTTAGTTATTTTCTTGTAATTGTCTCTTTAAGCTTTAGATTGAAAGTTCATTGTAATAGCATTTTACTTTTCTGATTAATATAAAGAAAATCCAGATTACTGGGCCAAATCTCATGTGTGCTGCGTTTATATTCTGATATATTTGTCCAATCCTATCATAGGTCCTTCACATCTCACCTTGAGATCATCAAGAATCATTTTTAGCCATAACAATTCATAGATACCTTGAGCCATGGCCCGAAATTCTGCCTGTGCACTTGATCTAGCAACCACATTTTGCTTTTTACTTCTCCATGCTACTAGATTTCCATAGAGAAACATACAATACCTCGAAGCAGACCGTCAGTCAGTCACGGATCCAGCATAATCAGCGTCTGTATAAACTTCTAAGGATAGGTTTCCTCCCTCTAGAATAATAGTCCTCTGAATGGTGTGCCTTTTAGATATTGAAGAATCCTGTCCACCGCAAGTGCTTGCAGGTGTTTTTCCCTCAGACCATGCATGAATTGGCTAACAATACTAACTGCATAAGCTAGATTAGGTCTAGTATGAGCCAGATATATCAATTTTCCCACCATTCATTGATATTGTCCTTTGTCAACTGAGGGACTCTCATTTTCACTTCCTAGTTTGCGATTTTGCTCAATCGGAGTACTGGAAGGTTTACACCAAAGTTTTCCTGCTTCTTTAAGGAAATCAAGAACATACTTTCGTTGACAAATAAAGATCCCCTACTTCGAATGAGCAACCTCTATCCCAAGAAAATATCTCAATCTTCCAAGATCTCTAACTTCAAATTCAGCAGTCAGTCTTTCTTGCATAGCGCATTTCTCATCTATATCGCCCCATGATATAATAATGACATCAACATAAACTAGAAGGATAGTGAGCTTCCTGAGAATGTTTAAAGAAAAGTGTGTGATCTCCTTAACTTTGTTTGTATCCTAATGAAACCATAACCTTGGTAAATATTCCAAACCAAGCACGTGGGGATTGCTTCAAGCCATATAACACCTTCTTTAATATGCAAACTTTATTATCTACATTTGTAGAGTCAAATCCTAGTGGGATCTCTATATAAACCTCCCCTTCTAATTCGCCATTGAGGAAGGCATTTTTCACATCAAATTGTTTTAAATCCCAATTAAAGTGAGCAGCAAGGGACAATAGAACTCTTACAATGTTCATTTTGGCCACTGGAGCAATGCTTCTTCATAATCATCTCCATAGGTCTGTGTGTACCCCTTGGCTACTAGTTGAGCCTTATACCTCTCAAGAGTTCCATCAGGATTATACTTCAAAGTATACACCCATTTTCACTCTACTGCCTTTTTTACTTTTGGCCTGTCAACGACTTCCCACATATTATTTCTCTCCAAAGCATTCATCTTGTCACTCATGGCTTGAACCCAATTATCTTTCTTTAATGCTTCATGCCCTGATGTTAGGATTGAAATAAAGTCAAGTGTTGTAATAAAGTTTCTATGCTGCATAGAAAGATTCCTAGAGGAGACAAAATAAGAGATAGGGTATTGGGTACAAGACCTTTTCCCTTTTCTTACAGCAATGGGTAAGTCATCAGAATTAATATCAGGCTCAGGAATAGAAGTAGTACATTCAATACTTACCAGCGGTTCAGGTGATTGCAGTTACTATTGGGGCAGTGTGGGTTGTTTCTTCCTTTGGTACAGTATTTCGGGTATCCCAGCTTTACGTATTTTCCCTTTTCTTATTTTGTATCCTAGAGGAGACAAAATAAGAGATAGGGTATTGGGTACTAGACCTTTTCCCTATTCTTACAGCAATAGGTAAGTCATCAGAATTAATATCAGGCTCAGGAATAGAAGTAGTACATTCAGTACTTACCAGCAGTTCAGGCGATTGCAGTTACTATTGGGGCAGTGTGGGTTGTTTCTTCCTTTGGTACAGTATTTCGGGTATCCCAATTTTACGTATTTTCTGTCGATCGTAGGAGGCATGTCACATGAGGTATCAGATGAACTCTCAGCCTCAACTAAGTCTTCCTTCTCATTGTCATGTAATGTAGCTACTAAGGTAGGAGATGTAGGTGTAGGTAATGGAAAAGGAGACTCAGACTCGAAGAAAACGATGAAGCATCTATATTGTTCTCCCCCTGAAGCTGAGGGTGTAGAAAGTAGGACTCAGATTCATGGAAGCTAACATCCATAGAGACAAAGAACTTACGACTTGAAGGATGGTAACATTTGTATCCTTTCTTGTTAGGAATATAACTAAGGAAAACACACTTAAGGGCTATAGGCTCTAATTTACTCCGATGTTGTTTATGGATATGGACAAAGGCGGCACACCCAAAGACACAAGACTGAAGACTCTACATAATTGGAACAGAAGGAAAGAAGGAGGTTAAGAGATCAACAGGACTTAGATGGCCAAGGAATCAAGAAGATAAGTGATTGATCAAATAGGCCACAGTTAATATGGCTTCTCCCCAGTAAGAGCTAGGAACAGATGTCTGAATAAGTAATGCTCTGGTTACTTCAAGCAAGTTGAGGGGTGTCTACACATGTGAGCTCATGAATCATACCCTTATCTGAAATGAATTGTGATAGATGTTGGTTGATGTACTCTGTACCATTGTGAGATCTTAATCGCTTAATACTTTTACCAAATTGTGTCTCGATCATGTGATAAAATCGAATAAACAATTCTGGTGTTTCTGACTTGTCTTTCATCAAGAATATCCATGTCACCCGAGTGCAATCATCAATAAAAGAAACAAACCACCTAGCACCTGAAATATTGTGTACTTTTTAGAAAGGCCCCAAACATCATAATGATAAGAGTAAACAGCTCAATACTTTTTATTGAACTTGAAGGAAAAGGCACACGGTGGTGTTTCGCAAGCTCACAAATATCACAATGGAAGAAGTTAATTGACTGATCCAGAAACAAAGAAGGAAACATTGACTTCAATAGGCCAAATGACGGGTGCCCCAGGAGCTTGTGATGAAGCCAAATCTGTGAAAATGAAGTAGACTGGTGATGACTCATTAATAATTGATTTGGGTATCACTTGTAGCATGCTCTGGAATGAGATAGTACAACTCACCCTACTCCTTAGCAACTCCAACCGTCCTCCCCGTGGTGAGATCCTGAATAACACAATGGGTAGGAAAAAAGGTGACAGCACAATTCATGTCAGTGGTAAGCTTATAAGTGGAGATAAGACTGGTGGAGAGCTGAGGAACATAAAGAACATTTTTTTAAAGCAAGGAAGGTTGAATTTCAATGTTACCATAACCCACAATTGATTTGTGAGAACCATCAGCTGCAGCTATAGTATGGTTACCACTAGAAAGGTGATATGAAAGAAACGGATCAGCTAGACAAGTCATATGATCAGTGACATCAGAATCCATAATCCACGAATTTTAAAATCAGTGCAAGAAGTAAGAAGAGATGTAGGGTGTGTGATATTACCAAACATATCCAGACCCCTTACAGTGGATGATCGAACTTCCCATAAACGGAAAAAAATAAGGCAGCCCAAAAAGAGTGTGAATAATTACCACATAAGCCTTTGAACGTCCCAAGTAGTAACAAATAAATCAGATCTGATTAAAGGATGCTTGATAGACCGAAAAAGATCCAATTTTTATGACAAGAAGAGGTCTCTGAACGTTCCAAACAGAAACAAAAAAGTCAAATCTGATCAAAAGAGGCACGAATGGCCAAAAAGATCCGATTTTTATGACGAGATCAAAGACCCACCATTGGAAAAGTGCCTGATCAAGGAGGTAAGAGCAGATCTAGAACCGGGGAGCCAAGGCGAGTCCAACCGAGGTGGTCCGAGGTAGATCAGAGTTGAAAAGTCATCGCAATAGTACTGTTTCAGTGAAAAACAGTAACGGTTTGGGCTGTTTGGGTTGTTTTGTGATTGGGAAACATCTGTGGATTGGTAGATCTGGAAAAATATAGTCAAACAGTGGTCCTCTTGGTCCAAAAGGTCCCCGAAAAAAAAATTCCAGTGGTGGCGAGAGGCAAACGGGTTCTGCTTTAAAATACGGCAATTGCGGAAGCAGAGCCCTCAGGATCGAGAGCTCTGATACCAACTTGAAAAATAGGATGGTATTATGTGAAAATTGTGTATTACAACTGTACAAGAGCTCTCTATTTAAAGAACTTAAATGACCTAATGGACTAAATCCAAAGAAGATTCTAAAATACAACTCTCTATTTAAAATAAAATAATATTATTATTTACAATATTCCCCCTCAAGCTGAGGAATATATTTAAGTTTTTGGGTTGAATTGGTTCTTTACATGGTATCAGAGTCTCGATGTCTCAGGTTCGATCATCGCCGCCCCCCATTTTCTTTGTGAAATTTCTTAGCACAGGTAGACTGGGTCTGATACATGATCCATCTTTCAAACCCAATGGGCTCTCTTATGAGGGAGCGTGTTAGAGATATATAAAACCATTAATGTAGCCTCACCCAACAGCTTAAGCTTTTGGATTAAATTGGTTCTTTACAAGAAGTTTTTTTAACAAATATTGTGCTAAGCTGAGAGTGCTCAGTTGAAGGGGAATGCCCTATCGCAAGAGAAGTGCCTCTTGTGTGTTCTTATTTTCTTGTCAATAAACAGATTTTCTCTTCCATTCCATTCTTTTCTTTTATACTACCTTACCGTAATATCAACTCCTATCACTAAACAGCCGTAACAGCCTCCAACACAATATTTTTTACAAAATGAAAGATATAGGTGTTATCGTCATAATACCTTTCCATATGCTGTATGAATTAAAATTTCAAGCAAACACAAGGTACTTACCATGCGCAAGTGATGTAAATTTCCTTGTATTTTAAGAGTCTCAACATCTCGATCCAGTTGCTGCTTCCAAGATGCTAGAAGTGCCTCATCCTATAACAGGAAACGTGTTATGAATATTATATAAGGAGAACAAAACTAGTGATATACAATCTACTGTATATACCTGGGGCATGTGGATTGTAATTTTATTTGGGAAAAGCTTAGTTAAAGTTTTGTTTGGCTTTGGGACTTCCTTCCCCCTGTCATGCAATCGTCCAAAACTATCCTGAAAATATTAGACACATAACATTGCTAGAGCTGAGAAAGCCTGAAAGAAATATTATTAGGATGCATGTAAGATATGCAAAATACAAGCATATATAGGCAATTCCGGTTTCTCTCTTTCAAATAGAAGAAGAAACAAAGTCAAAAGGAGATGTAGTCATTACCGGGAAAGCCAAGTCAAGAAGGGCAGTCTGATTGCTACCGAATTTTGTAAATAGCAAACCACCAGGGTGCGACTGCAGGGAAAATAGTCATAAATCAATTATATAATCACTTATACACAGGTTTAGACCACGGATAGAAAGAAAATTCAAAGGATTCAATAAATAATCGAATTTGTATCTTACTTCACTACAATATACATCTTCCTTAGTTTTTCAATTCATGTACAACAAAGAGATAAAAAAGAACCATAACTGCTAAAAAGAACAGATCTTTGGAGACTGATTAACAAAAGTTCACGCAAATAAACCAAATGATATGCATACAAAACTTTCCAAGGTATCTTGCAATGGGCTGTTGGGTTACAAAACAGATTTTGTCATTTTAAAAAATTGGTTAAATTAATCTGTAAGTCCCCAGACTATTTGGGGATTTTCACTTAGGTCCCCATATTTAAAAACTTGGATCCCTACCATTAGAGCACTAAGTGCTACGGTAGACTGCTTACTAAGAGCCCATTTGGAAGGGCTTTTTTTGGCCCAAGAAGCTGTGTTTTTATTTTAAAAAAATAAATAAATAAATTGGATGCCAACTTTAAAAAAGAAAGATTAAAGTAAAAAAAGAAAAAACTAAAATACTGCTTTTTTGTGAAACTAACATTCCTAGCTTCTAAAATAAGCACTAGCCGGAAGCCAGTTACAACCCTCGAAATCCAATTCTGCCTCAACCCGAGTCACCGAAGCTGGTACTGGTAATGCCGGCACCAGCAGCTCCTTTGGTGGTGTAGGATACTGCACGAAATTTAGAGCCACATGAAAGCTCTCTGGGCCTCATCATCCTTAACCGCATGCCAAGAACTAAAAAACTTCCTTTCATCCATTTTTATGCAAATCAAAGAAAAACTAAGACACCCCAAAACCTCAACAACAACAAAAATGCTTAAACCCTGCCCATTGAAGATTCAAGCATTTTTTAAACTCAAAAACAAGAGAAAAAAATGAAATTTTTGAACTTTGTGAAAAGAAATGGATATAACTGCAGAACTAAGATATCCAGAAACAGCACAATGACATTGGAGCTCTGAAGAATTTGTAACAGCACGAAAAAAATTACAAAAACAAACTTTTTCGTAAAATGATGAAAACCAAGATCCAACAAGCTTTTCAACAGTTGGGGTTGAACTCCGAGCAAGATGCAGTACTGTGGCTCAAACCCAGACCATTGCAGAGAATGCAGAAGAGCTTCAAAAATTAACACAAAATTTGAAGAGAAAAAAATCTACAATTAGAGAGAAAAATAACACTCAACTGTTTGATTCTAAAACTTTCATGCATGTACTACTATTGTGCAGTATGCATATAGGACCATAATGTGTCTTCTATATAACTCATGGTAGTAAAACCACTCCCCATTAAACCCTGAATAACAAAGGTGGGGTGAGAACAATCCTTATATATAGCCTTACCCTTGCATATATTAGCAAAGAGTCTAATTCCAAGATATGAACCAGAGACCTTTCAATCACACAGAGCAGTTTTACCCTGCTCTAGGCTCACCCTCATCATTAAAAACCAAAAAAAAAACTCTCTATTAACCCTGACTAGCGAGAGTGGGGTGAAGATAATCCTTATACGCAACCTTACCCTTGCATATTTACAAAGTTGTTTCCCGGATTCGAACCTGTAACCTTTCAGTCACAAAGGAGCAGTTTTACCACTACTCCAGGGTCGCCCTCTTTTACTCACCCTCATCATTAAAAAAAAAAAAAAAACAGCCCTACCCTCGCAAGTGGGGGAGGCTTATGCACAAAGGTTTGCCCTTATAGGGAAAAATAACAACTCTTGCTAAAAAATTTATTGATTTCATACATCTTTTTCAGTAATTTTATAGATAAAAGTGTTTTTTTATTTTAACATCCAAACAATTTTTTTACTTAAAAGTACTTTTCAAATATTGCATCCAAACACAAAATAACTTTTGCTTTAGAACAAAATCCATCTAAAAAAACAATGCGTAAAAATCCCTTTTTAAAAGCTCATCCAATATGGCCCTAAGAATTTGTGAAACTATACAGACCCAATTTCAAACTTTTTGGATCCCTATATTCCCAAAAATTTCTGAATAGGTCACAATTGAAAATTTAGTATGTACAAACTTTCGCACGAAAGCATAGAGACCTAATTGAAAAACCCCAAATAATATAGGGCATTATAGATTAATTTAACCAAAACAAAATTATTACCTTCTCCTTTCGACTGTCAGTATGAGTGTGTGAACCTATTACCACCACACTGTCTGGAAGCTTTTCAAGCCTACTTTTAAATGAAACTGGATCTCCATTTCCAACTATAGACTTCTCAGCATCTTTCATGAACAAAATGAACGGTGAGCTTCTGCTCTCGCTAAAAACAACCTGAAACAAAAAGAAGTATAAAATCTTATTGTTAGACTGAAGCAGAAATGACTGTACATAATCTTAGACCACAGAGCAAGGTAAAAGCAAACCTCAAACAACAAATTAATAAGTAATTTGTCCAGTTCTTCCACACCACTGTTTTCCAATCGAAGATCAGTGACTGGAAATAGAAAAGTAGTGAATATAGAGCATGGATCAAAGATACAAGAATACAGAATATCTAAAAATATAAATGTTGCATTAGAGAGGTAAGACATTACCATTGCAGAAAAATCCTTGACCTCCCTCACAGGCCCCTCCAAGATCAACTCCATCAGGTATCGGTTTATCAAATCTCACACCAATTTTAGACAATGGATTATCATCAAATAGTAAGACAACCTTCCCCCGACTTCCACTAGGTGGACCCCTATATGTGAAATTGCTAATCAAAATTATAATAAAAAATATAAACACATGCACTTAGTTTGGAATTGGAGAAAATGAAATTAAAAGCAATGGAAATTAGGGGAAAAAGTTAAATTAAGTTGTCTAGGAAACATGAGAGAATATGGAGGAATGAACTAGAAAGGAATATTTGACTTACATTCTACTAAAAAATAAAAATAGAGAGAAATTGAAAGTGAAGAAAAAATCGATGAAGTAGCCTATGGAATTCCAAATTACACAATCTTAAAATATCATAATAAAAAATTAGCAATGGCTGAGTATGTTATTTTGTTTTTCTCCATTTTCTTGCCCCTCATCCAAACAAGAGAGAATAAATTTAATTTCAAATACCTCATTTTCATCACTCCTATTTTATTTCCCCTCATTTCTTTCCTACCACATTTTCCCCCAAACAAAGGGGTTCACAAGTTGCAACCTAGAAAGCAAAGAACAGGAAGGGGAGAGAGAGGGGGAGAGGATTATAGTTAGAAGAAATACAAAAGAATCAATCTAAGCATAGCAATTATTAGCACCATCCATATCCCAACAACCAAAAGATTAACATTAGTTCCAATTTTTATTACAGGGCAATCACTATAAAAAGTTTCCCTTCCTTCTCCACTGCTGTCCAAGTCTCCCACTAGTTATATAATCTATTCATTTTAAATTATATACAAATTGCTAGGTCATTATCATGAGTCATCAGGGTATTGTGCAGTTACACTTCAATTTTGGTATGTAAAGATCCACAAAAAGTTCAACCTGCATAGGTGCTCATGATAACTTAAGCTCAACAATTCATCTGACAAGTACAAAATAGTGTACAGAACAATGTGCGTCAATGAGAAAAGCAGAAATTAATTCAGAACAGTTTTCTACATATTTGTACCTTGAAGATGTTTGGTACAAGCCACAAGATGATGAACAGCTAAATTTAACCCTATCACCTGCATGAATTGAGGGGAAATGCAATTGGTATTTGACAAAAAGCACCCTTGTCTTATCTTTCTTTCTTTTTTATTATTCAAAATTTGCTAAAAAGTTCAAAACAGACTCAACCCCTGTTATTTATTTATTTATTTATTCCAAATTTTAAATGGCTTTGCACCCAGTGTTGTGGCTGAAAAAATAATTTTTAAATTCGGCGCATACAGATACGTGTCATCAGCATGTTGTTGTGTCGAATACGTGTCCAACAAGTGGACACCACCAAAAATGGTGTGTCTGTGATTTATGTAAAACCAAAGCAATTTAAAGAAGGAAGAAAAGTAGAAGAACACACACCTAATTTAAACAAGCAATTTTTAGCTGTTCCAGAGGTAGATGGTATGTTATCAGTTTCCAACTTAGGTTGAGACTCGTGGCCATATGATGCAGGTGCATTTAAAGAGCTATGTGTTTCTGTTTCACTAGCTAACGGGTCCATGGCCCTAGCCAAGTTAGTAGTTGTAGGACTTCGTTTGGGGTAGCTGCAAGATTTTTCAGCATTAAATCCATCTTTGAGTAGCTCAGATTCCTTGGAAGATAAACCCTATCATCACATGGCAAATAAAGATTTTTATCAGAGGTTTTAGTAAAAAAAAACTTCCAAGTACAAATCAACAAAAGTGGCACATGGCTTAAACCTAATATCAGACCAAAAAGAAAGCTTTATCTTACACCCAAAAGCAAATGGCTATCAAATATGAGCAACTTAGCTCCAAAGTATTTTGCAAGTGCTTTTGCCAACATCTCCTGATATATCTCTGACCCTGCAAATGCAAACAACAAAATTTACCAATTAAGGGAAACAAGTACATAAAGAAAAAGGAGGGAAGCAATAGTATAATACCCACACACCTGCAGGTCCTGAGAGTAAAATACGAGGGTTTATGGTTGTAAGATCTCCGGTGTATTTTTCATGTCCTTTATGCCTGAGGTGTAACAAGCAAGCTGCCACCAGGACATTTTTTGTATTCTCACTGCAAAAGGATATGAATACAAACATAAGTACAGCACGAATTAATAATCCATCAAAGATAAGAGCTAGAAGAATGACTTCAAGCACAACGCATGAAAGACTCAATCAAGTCACACAACTAAAGATTGGTCTTTATCATTTAAAAAAATCACAGGAACCTTAACACATCAAATTAAATGCCAAGCGTTATGCCACTTTCAAGTCATAAGTTCCTAATGTCCTAACTATATAGACATTTCAAAAAAAGAGCAACAGCATGAAAAGTGAAAGCTAGTAATTAATTTGGATCCATCATTTATAAAAGCAGCACCTAGGTATATAAATTCAAAAACATAGGACAAATTCAAATATTACAGAGAAAAGTAGCCACACTAAATGCGTTTATAGGATTTCTTACAACACATTGAAATAGATATAGAATAGAAGAGAATTATACCTTAAATAGTATGGGAAGTTGTCAAAAGACACATCCATTTCTTTTCCATCCAGTATTGCAGCACGAACATCTTCTTTAAACACTGCACAGCGCACAGATGTACCTGAAGACGATGCGGCTCGCGTATCCCGTGTCCCATTTCTTTCTTCCAATACCTGTTTACAGATACTTTTGCTCAATTTGAGTTTACAACTAGATCGAGCTAAGATCCTGAAGAAAGGCCTTAGGGAATCATTCACCCCATAAAATTTTACATTGCCTGCCTCTGTGCCAGCATCTAGGTCGCAATCCATTGTTGAATTCTTGTCGCTTGCTCCAACATCACCTCCTTTATCACTCCGTATATTTGGAGCTGATTCTGAGCCATCAAGCTCAATTTCTGTATCATCATGAAGAACAGAATGACTAGAGACATCAGCACCTTGGTGAGGTTTACTGGAGGTCTGAGATGGTGATTTCCGTTGGGTAAGGTCCTGTCTGAGGTTAGAAAGAGAAGCCAAAATAGAGGCCCCAGCCACAGCTGAAGGGTCTCCACTTCTCCTTTCAAACTGCAGAATTTTCCCATCACCACTCTGAACTTCTGCACCCCTAACTGCAACCTCAGTATTCAGTTGCTGGAAAATCTAAGTCAAAAGTAAATTAAGAAAATCACCGATGCAAAGACAAATTAAAAAACAAAATACATTGAGAAAAAGGAAACAACAGATAATTAAAAAATAGCGTAACTGATAATTATCATTTCAAGAAGTACGGGGGAGGAAAAAAATGCATTCAACTAAACGTACTAAAAGGATACATAAGAATGATTTCCCAGCGAGCCAAAAACCACCTCATCACCCGAGTTAAGCACACAGCTGGTATTCTTCTTGACAAGCGTCCCATTTACTAGCACAGATCCTTTGCTGCCCGTACTTTCTAGCACAGCTACAGCACATCCCCCGCTCTGATCATTTCCAGAAACAACAGTAATCATATTGCACATACATATCCTAAGGTACTCACCCCAAACAACTAAAAAACTTAGTGAAACAGTACCCAATAGCACGTGCAGACTTCTGTGCTTAAAAAAGAGCCTAACAACACACAAAATCTTATAAATGTTCCAAAACTTCAAAGAGTAAACTTATTCAAGTCTTCCGATGTACCTGGGTATGCTTGATCTTACATAAATTCCCACTTATAGTTTGATCATTCAGTGCCAAGTTGCAATTTCTACTAGAACCAATTGTGAAATTCGGAGTGCAAACATGAACATTTGGATTCTGCAGCAGTACCACAAAGTCCAAATTAAAAGGTTTTAAACTAAAAAAAAAACCACGTGCTACCCGTGGACTAAACACTCGAACGTGTGAACAGTGACCACTACAATCGTCACTTTTCTGATTCACTTCACTTAAATGAACATGAATTTACCTGTGCAGACTGCGTCAAGAACCTGCACCAGGGTTGTTTCTGATATATACTCCATGAAGAAAACGACGGACCTTCATATTAAAACAACGAAAAAATTGCGAAAGTTAAATTCATAATACAAGTACACCGATTCAGAAAAATAAAAAAATAAAAAATTTGAAAAAATTCAGGGTGCTAACATGTGGCATCAGCAATCGGCACCGCCACAGCCACAGCAGGCGTAGCATCGCCCTTGCCGGAACTCACACCATCAGCGGCACCCGCTCCGGCGATCTGAGCATCGCGGGAGCCACATTCTCCGGGATCAGGGACAGGCTCCGGAGTACATGTTTTCTTGGAATTATCCGCCACCGGCGCCGGTTTCTCCGACGAAACGCCATTGTCAACCTGAAAAATTCCGAACAAATCGTAAACCCTCAATCGCAGAAAACCACGAGAAGTAACGGCTCTGACGCTATAATTCTCCAAAACCGAACCGTTTGGATTCAACTGTTTCGAAAAATAAGAAGAATGAAAAAGAAAAAGAAAAAGAAAAAGAAGAAGGAAGAACCTTTTGACGTTTAGGTGAAGGAGGCTTATCTTCTGAGGAGGAAGATCTTTTTGTATTGTTTGCAGAAAGAGATCCACTGCGTCTCGTTGAAACCATGCTCCTTCTTCTCTCTTCTGCTTTCTTTGCCTTCTCCTCAATAGAGAGAGGGGATATCAATGATTTAACGTTTTTTTTTCTTTTACGAAACTAAAATATCCTTATTTATTCGCTTTTTTAATTCAGCCTTCCACACGACACCATGTGCGTATGTTAGCATTTTTTTGGGCGCAATATAGCGCCTGATTTGTAGGTATCTTTATAATGCGCTTTTCGTTTGGCTTTTTTTAATAGTTGGGTCTTCGGTTCTGAATTCTGAGTCGTCTGACTCTGACTGTCTGGGGAATTCATTACGTGGAATTTTTTGCACCCTGGTCTGAGGTCTCACCATTGAAGCGTTACGGATTCGCTGTGCAAATAGTTTAAATATCTGCATTAATTAACAGGGGAGTAGTTACGGTAAGTAAACTGTGCTCATGGATAGGATATTTGTTTGATTCTTGGCATATGTTTTTACGGGTTGGTAAAATCTTTTGCATTTTAAGTCTATACAGGGGAGTAGTTTCGTATTTTTTGTGAAGAAAATGTTCCAATATATCCTCTGTTTTAATAAAAAATTAATTTTAGCGTCGAATCATTGAGAACAAACCAGAGAAAGTTGAGTAGGACACCTTCGTGAAACCAAGAAAAAAAATATATGCATTAAAGCATGTGTACTCAACCATAGGGCTGGCAATATGGGCCAGCCCGCCCCGGCCCGCCACTAGCCCGCCCAAAATGGGTTGGCCCGTCCCGGCCCGTTTTGATAAAATGGGTTGAATTGAGTAACCCGGCCCGTTTTATGAGTGGGCTGGCGGGCTACGGGCCAGCCCGCCTAAAATAAAAAAAATATAAAAATAAAATACAAAAAATTAAATTCTGCATAAAATCACATAAAAAAATCTGCATAAAAGCATACAAAAATCTGTATAAAATCCTAATGTGCTTATGAAACCAAGAAGATCAGTGTTTAATAATCTGCATATAAATATGCATCTTTCAATCCAAAAATAATAAAAAAAAAATAAAATCATATCAGGATAAAATAGAATAACAAAACAAGTAACAAAGTGTTGTATGAGCAGTCCACAACAATTCAAAAAAGCCACTTGCAAGCAGAGAAATCTAAGATACGGAGCTACATAACAATTGGGTAACCTAAAAAAAAAAAAAAATGACTTGGCGGGCTGACCCATATGGGCTGGCGGGTTTGGCGGGGCGGGTTTGGCGGGCTGGTGGGTTGAAAGACTCAACCCAGCCCGCCCCATTTGGCAGGCGGGGCGGGCCAGCCCGGCGGGCTGAGCCCATTTTGCCGGCACTACTCAACCATGCCCAAAAATTCGAAGATTAGTCAAATTATTAAAGTGTGGTTTTGTATTAAGTAATAGATTCATTCTTTATTTGATGCACATTATACTCATCAACAAATTATGCATTAAAATTTCATGAATTATTTTGTACAGTGCATTTTTAATTATAAAATTTTAGGTTAATACAATATTTAATCTTTTCAATTAAATTAATCTTTAAAAAATATTTTAATTTAAAAATAAGTTGATTTACAAAAAATATAATCATTTTTAAAAATAAAATATAAAAACTCATATTTATAAATTAAATTTTATATAAAAAAAATTTATTTTGTTGTGATAATACTTCAATGAACTTTGTGGAACCAATGCACTCTATGTAAAGAATATAAAGTTCAACGATTTTGATGATAATAAACAAATATGGAAAAAAAAATTCAAAGTGCAACAATCAAAAAGAAATTTTAAAAATAAGACTCAAACTTCAAGAGAAGACTCTAAGTTCAAGCACCCTCAAAGTAATATATTTTTAGGATTTAAAATTATTTGAAAGGGGAATTGATTCTTACGTGATCAAAGCTCAAAGCATCTTTCAAATACATGCATTAAATCATCGTTTGACATTTAAATTCAACCCTAGCATGAAAATATTTTTTTTAATGTTTATCAAATGATTAAAAGTATTTGAAATTGATTTACATCATGAGAAAACTACTACGAAATCCAACTTTTTAACAGGTTGGTAATCGATTGCCCCAACAATGGTAATCGATTACCCATCTTATGGTAATCAATTATGCATTGTGCAAAAGACAAAAATAACTGTCATAAAACGACTAGTTTGCGAAAATGGCTGAATAAACACTCATGAGGGTCCTTTATAAATAGGGATCATTGTTCCATTGATTAGACACTTCTTCTTGATCATTATTCTTCATTTAAATCATATTATTTGCTTATTCTCATTCATCTTGATCATAAACGCTTTTTCAGCTTTATTCTTGTGAAAGTGTCAACACTCATAGTTCTTCAACTTGTATAATCTGTACTTTAAGAGTACTTAGCTATTGTTAAACACCTCCATTTGATTTCTTAAATAGTTAGGGGAGTGAACCCTTTACACTTGAGAGGTCACCAAATTCCTAAGGAAATTTGGAGTAAAAAATTGTAAGGCATCAAGAGTCCAAAGTCTTGAAAGGTTGTAGTGGTTTGTCAAGCACCCTTAAGCTTGATAGCTAGTGAAAAAGTTTGATCGAGCGGCTTCAGTCTAGACGTAGGTCACGATAGTGGTGAACGAACCAGGATACATCTAGTCTGTAATTTCTCTAACCTTAAACTCCCTACATTAGTCTTGAAATTGCATTTTTAGATTGTGTTTATTTATTCGCTTGCTTCTTTATTGATCACACACTTGCTCCTACACTTAGAATTTTCCTTGTTAAATCATTTTTCTTGAAGAATCACTCTTTAAAATATCAAAGGAGGCACTTTGCGAAAAAAATTATAAAACTCAATTGACCCCCCTTGAGTATTGAAGCCACTTGTCCAACAAGTGGTATCAGAGCTTAAACTCTTGTGTAAGGAGTTTAACTGCTTCAAGAGAAAGGATGGCTTCTTTCAACCATGATATGCCCCTTGAGAGTTCTTCTAGTACTATACCTCTATTTTTCAATGGCATCGATTATTCTTATTGGAAGAGTCAGATGAAAATATTTATTCAATCTAATGATTTAAGAGTGTGGAACATATTTCAAAAAGGGTATACTCTACCTACTATAAAAAATGAGCAAAATGAAGATGTTCCTAAGGATATAGAAGTTAAGAAAGGAAATTTGAATGCTAGAGCTCAAAACTTGATTACAAATGTCTTAGGTCGTGATGAGTACTTTCGTGTTTCAAATTGTAAGAATGCTAAGAAAATGTGAGATATTCTTCAACTAACTCATAAAGGAACTAGTGATGTTAAATTTACAAAATTAAATGCACTCACTAGAGAATTTGAATTATTTGAGATCAATGAAAATGAAAATATTCAAAGTATGCAAAAGAGATTCACACACATTGTCACTCATTTAAATGCTCTAGATAAATCTTTTACTAACCTTGAGTTAATTGGTAAAGTGATGAGAAATGTGCACAATAGGGAATGGCAACAAGTTGACGACTATAGCGGAATAAAAAAACTTGAAGACCATGGATCTTGCAACCTTGTTTGGCAAACTCCAAGAGTATCAAATGGAGCTAAGTATAATAACATTGAAGGAACAAGCCAACAAGAAAAGTAAGAAAATTGCCTTAAAAAGCCTCAACACCAAGCAAAGAAAAGGATGAAGAAAAAGAAAATGGAGACTCTGAAATGATCTTGATGAAGATGAGATGAGTTTATTCATAAAAAAGTATAGAAAAAAATTTAAGAAGAAATTTTTAAACAGGCCTGCATTTCCTCCTAGAAGAAAATCTAAAGATGAAGGATCCTCCCAACTCACCATCACTTGCTACGAATGTGGAAAAACTAGTCACTACAAATTGGATTGTCTAAATCTTCAAAAGAAAGACAAATATGAAAAGAAGCAAGGCAAGGATAGAAATAATTTCAAGAAAGCCTTATCTTGCTTGGGATGACGAATCTAGTTCTTCTGATGATCGCTCCAGGGAAGAAGCAAACTTATGTTTTATGCAAGATAGGAGACCACCGGAGAAATCAAGCAAATGAACTCAACATATATGTCTAATGGCAAATAAGGATGAAAAAGAATCCAAAACCGAGGTTTGTTTGAAGGCCAAAAGTTCTAAGTGGAACTTGGATAGTGGTTGCTCAAGTCATATGACGGGAGATGTAACCAAATTCTAATCATTTAGAAGGAAAGAGCATGGACATGTTTTCTACGGAGATAACAACAAAGGAAAGATACTTGGTCTCGGGAAAGTTAGTAACTCATATTCCGTCTCTATAGATAATGTTTTACTTGTTGATGACCTTTTATATAACTTGCTTAACATTAGTCAATTATGTGATAAAAATTATAGAGTAATTTTTAACTCAACCTCTTACAAAATTGAAAGTCTAATTGATAGGTAAGTTAAGTTTCTTGTATATAAAGTGGATAATATTTATATGATAGACTTAGATAGTATGCCTTCAAATTACGATAAATGTTTAATTAGTACGGAAAATGACTCTTGGTTATGGCATAGGAGAATAGCACACATTGGCATTGGTCAATTAAGCAAATTGATTTCCTTAGACCTAGTGATTGGATTACCAAAGATCAAATTTGGAAAGACAAAGTTTGTGATGCTTGTCAAATAAGAAAACAAGTAAAGACTTATTTTAAATCAAAAAATATTATTTCTACCACAAAGCCTTTATAACTTTTGCATATGGATCTTTTTAGACCAACTAGAACAATGAGCTTTGGTTGCAATTACTATGCATTGGTCATTGCGGATTATTATTCTCGCTATACTTGGACCTTATTCTTTACTTATAAAAGCGATACATTTAAATCATTCAATAGATTAGTCAAGTTTATTCAAAATGAACAATCTTCAAATATTGTTTCAATTAGAACCGATTATGGTGGGGAATTTGAAAATCAGGATTTTGAAAACTTTTTGTGAAGAAAATGGTATTGAACATAATTTTTCACTCATAAGACTCCACAACAAAATGAAATTGTAGAAAGGAAAAACCGTGTATTGGAATAACTTGCTAGAACCATGTTAAATGAAAATGATCTTCCAAGATACTTTTGGGTGGAAGCTGTTGG